ATAGTAATAACATAGCTGTAATACAGGGGCAACTTCACCAACAGTACAATAAACCAGCTTGCATTAATATTGATTAGGAATTTCATTTAAGTTGGGTTAATTATGTCATGAGCTACAAAATTATAAGTTATTAACTTGTAAAAAATTTCCCCATCAATTGACAGACAGTGACCTTAAATTGGCTGGTTATCAATTTTTTTTTGTAGTAAGATTATCTGCAAATATTTTTACAATCTGTTTCTGGTTTCTGGTTGGGATTAAGTTACAGACTAGCAATTCTAAATAGTTTCCCAATATTTTGGCAGACGCATACATCTTTAAAAAGTACCATAGCATGCTACGAAGTGCAAAGCTATACATTTTCTTGATGGCTGAGCCTACACGATGGACAACATACTGGCCCACCCATAAGAAGTATGGTTGCTAATTGTGTGTGGTTGATTCTGTACTCAATGACCATGGACAAATGGATTATGTTACAGTATTAGATTTACCAGGGTCCCAAGTCAACTGCAAGGTGCCGAGTGTCCCACACTCCAGTGAGCAAGCAATAATATGACTCGGAATGCCATCCGAAAACAAGCTTAAAACAAGTTAAAATGATTCCTGTAAATGACCTACCATTTCAAAGCTTATTATAATGTGGAGAATATGAATACTTTTTGGCATATCAAGCCCCATATTAGTATGCTTTTATTGCTTTACAAGTTGCCTTGCTGAAGTCGGCTGGTGGTCACAGGTCTTACCATGCATAGAAAAATACAATTGTATTTACAGTATTAGGAAAGCACTGAACAGGAACGGTTTCTCCCAACTTGGGAGCCCTGTATTCCCTATGCAAATCAAATCAGTAAGTTGTTTTATGATGGTAGAACAGTCATCATTCTTAAGTGGAGTATATACTTGCTTATTCAAATTCAATACCTGCATCTATTTAACAATAGGCCTCTGTTCTTGGAACAATTACTTATGTCTGGATTATTATAGTCGTCTTTGACCTATGATACTTTACAAAAAAAATCATGCATATAAGGTCACATTTGTTGTAGGAACTGTAGTTTTATTATATTTTGAGGGTGAATTTTTTTTTTTATTCATTTATTTGGCATCGCTTAACGGGAGACGCAAAAGCGGGAAACCCACTGTCACCAGAAGGATGTGCGACTCCCTGAAACCTTGCAACCAGCAGCAGAGGTTCTTCCTGGATCCTGTACCCCTTTAGGTAGTGGTGTACCTATGGGGTGCGTACGTTTCCCAAAAACTTCTCTCCTGAGTCGCCCACCTCCCATTGAAAATTCCTGAGGCAAAAAATAATGCTCAAGCTGTTTAAAGCACTTCATATCACGTTATTTTGTGATCTGGCACTCCCTCCCTTAATCATGGAGTCCCTCTCCCAACTTTGTGTACCACCCCCCTCCCCCACCATTTGAAGACTCCTAGATACGCTGGACCCCGGTTTAGTTCAAGCACTTGTCTATAAATACATGTATTTAATAATCAAAGGGAGCATGATAATTAAAGAGATTAGATTTGGGCCTATTGTTTAATGTACAGTAACATAAAAAACGTTCATAAAGGAAGGTACACAGTAGAGTATATAAGAGTGAAGGGCTTGGGGAACAGCAAACAAAATATATTCTTAGGTATTTATGCCACTCTGCTATTCTATAGTAAGCACACATTATTATTAAGTAGCTTTCTGATCATCCATGGTTGTCTTTTACTTTCCAGCACAATATTAGATTTTCTGGGCCTAAATTATGGAACAATTTACCTTCTTCCCAAATTATTAATTCTTTTATTCCCAAAAAACATTTATAATTAAATTTAAAAAAACAAAAAACAAAAAACACACTTTATTGCCCAATATCATTAGTTTCTATTTTGCAGTCCTATCCACCATGGAGGTAATACCTCCATGTATCCACCATAATGTGAGTTTCAAGCAAGTTCCAGCTCCGAATTCTGTTTTTTTATCCTCTTCCGTTGCTTCATTGTCTTCATATTACGTATTGTGTCTGACTTCTTTTTGTTTTGTCTGTCTTCCTTATTTATGTTTTTTATTCTTAAGGCTGGCCCAACACAAGGTTTTTATCTTCTTGGGCATTTGCCTGCTTCTTTGCATTTCATGTTAAGCAACAGTTATTTTTTTTAAGATTAATATTATTATATACTATTATTATTGTATAACATATTTTATCTTTTGTATCTATTCAAGGAAGAAAACAAATGTATACATTTGAAATTGAAAAAAAATAAAAAATACAGTAAATTTGATATTAATTACCTCCATACATGTATAATTCATCCATATATTTTCATCGGTTAATGCACATCCGTCATTTAAAAAAAAAAAAAAAATTATTACTTTATTCAAACCTATTCAAATTAGCAAAATATATAAAGTTGTACAATTTTAGCATCCAAATGGTTTGCCAAGTATTGGTGTTATTTTGGTTGGAATGCTGATATCGGCTTTCAGAATATCTCGAACCACACATAAGGAAATTCCTATATATGTGTCAAATAACCTCATTTGTATTAATAGACATTCCCACTGATGATAAATGTGGGCTTATAGCGTAACCTTTAGAACACGTACCATAATGTATGTGCTACTGTAGTCCACGAATTGAGCGCTCTGATATTCATGAAATAGCGCTTTATAAATGATGTTATGTATTACATACTGTACATACATAACATCATTTATAAATGATGTTATGTATGTACAGTATGTATAAAAAGCTACATAAATGTCATGTAAAGATGTTTTCCACATTGCTATATCATACATTACCATAGTTTTTTTCAGGTATAAGCCCATCCCCTGGAATTATACAGAATCAGCCAAATTTGGGAGTGGGGGATGCGAATATACCTGGAAAATTACTTTTAAAAAAAAATGACAAAATGCTTTTTAAACTCATTTTAAGGCTGGCCAATCAAAAGGCAATATTTTTCAATACTGCATGCTTGATTCACAGCCAATATTTTTATGAATGTATTTGTGAAAGTCATCTGAGATACTCATTTAAATCATGCCCAGGGCTTTTAATTGGGAAAACCGTGGTAGGTAAAATTGGGCATCAGGCTGGGGGGTGGACTTAACCTGAGATGGGCTTATACCTGAGTATAATGATCTTAATTTCAAAATGAACTTTCTGAAAGATGTATTGTCCTCTGAAAATGGCAAAAAAATTATGAAAAATAATTTTGAAATTAAGTTGCTCATCTTACTGTAACAAATAACATATTATTAACTTGAGCATAAAAAAATATTGAATTTAAAGAAATGTGTACCCTGATTTTTATACTGGATAATGGATAAAAATAATGAAATCACCTCCAGTGACTGGAAGTATTTCTATCATATTTTGCTGTAAAATTATGGGTAAACATTTTTTAAATACAATAATTTATATGTTCAAGTTGATAATTTTTAAGTTATTTCAAAATGAACACATTAATTTCAATAATGATTTTTGATATATTTGCTTTTTCTTTTAATGAGGACAATGCATCTTTAAGAAGCTGTGAGTTGGTGGTTGAGAAGCACAAGCTGGTCTCTATTACAACCTTAAAGGCTTAATTGCAGATTCCAGGAATTTTTACATGACTGAAAACCAAGCTTTGTTAACAGCTTAATTATATCCACCTAATTAAAATATTCATCATGTAAAGGTTACCATACAGAAAAGTACCAAGAGTCTGTATATGATCATATTTGCTGAATTTCTCATCCTCACTGGAATACTCTGAAACCTTCAAAAGAATCCCAGTGGGCTTAATCTCGAGAAGAAGTCCACCTCAGATTGAAGCCCCTATTTAGTTTGCAAAAGTAGCCTAAAAAAGAGGTCACTCTCAAAGAGAAGCCCATGAGCTTTTTTTCAAGACATAAAATGGGCTTTTTTTTGACATAATACAGTACATACGGTGTGCATGAATTTCAAAGAAACAAGATAAATTAAAAACATGCTTGCTTTATGCAGTAGTTTAGGTGATTTAATGCCAGTTAATACATTCCATGATACAAAGTAATGTTGCAGTGGTCCTATTTAATTTTTCATAGTAGTAATTTCCAAAATTTACAGCATTCATTTTGAAAAGAAGCCCTTTATTTACTTTGCAAAAGTAGCCTCGAAAAGAAGCCCATCCATATTTCACAAAAAAAAAAAGTCCAGGGCTTCAATTCGAGGTTTTACGGTATACAGTATTCTAAAAAATTGATGAGCTCTATTAAAGGGTTTATTGTATTTGATATGTTAAAGTATTCATTTATAAGGTAATTGCCTTTTAAAAGATGCGAATGCATTGTTAAAACCTCTTTATCATGATAAAAACAGTATGAATTCACAATATTCTACTACTGTACTCATATTATTTTACAATTATTATTATGGTATTATCATCATTATTATTAGTTGCGGTGGCCTAGTAGTTAGGACACTTTTCCATCATTCCGATGAGCTGGCATATTGAATATTATTGTACACGTTCTGCATATGCCTATGTCAAAAATCGCAGATAAATTATACATAATGGGGTGTAAGGCCCTTTCATTAAGCAAGTGACAGCCCATAGCTTTTTCGCCACTGATTCTGCAGTGGGGCGGATGAAGGATTTGGCGGTATGGGGGTGCGTGAGAGTCCACGCCACCTCAGCCCCACCATGGTTGGAGCCGAGGTGAGAAAATTGTGAGAGTACGGACCACTAGATGTCCAAAAATTGCACTATCATACCAGATATAATCCAATTTATTTTCATATCAACACACAACACAATTTAGGGAGGTGCGATCGCACCCCACTCCCCTACATTCCCCCAGTTGCCTGTGCGCATGTCTCAATGCAACGCCCAGTCCCTAACCTTTGTGTTAGTCTGAGCAGATAGCTGTCGAAAACAATTCGTTGCGGAATGGGCCATCACTTCACAATCTCATGGAATCACATTATCTGACAATGCAATATGCAATCAGATTAAAATATGATCATTGTTCAATTTTCTTGGAACCTCTTAAAAGTATTGTCATGGTAACAAAGTCACATAAAAGCCATGTGCCTGAAATTCATTTTCTTAATTAAAGACATACTAGTACATAGCTTACAATGATTATGGAGTGATTGTTGGCCTACATCGACTGCTTTTATGCCTCACTAGAGAAAAGTCTGGTTATAACAAAAATCAATTGATATTATATACAGCCAGTGGGATATCTAGGGGTGTGTGGGGGCATGGTTTTAGCCTTCCTTAAAAAGCTTTCCACCCCTCAGAAATATTCAAAAGTTTAAAATCATCTAATATCACCTTATTTTGCGAGCAAGCACCCCCTTTATTTAATCCTTGGGTCCCCCTACTTCACATTCACGCCTCACTACCCCCTCATTTCAAGACTCCTAGATATTGCCACTGAATACAGCAAATGAAAAAACAACTTTGTTAACACACCATGAAAGGGACACTCATTCATTTGATTCAGGTAATTAACAAGTTTATTGGCAAAACCAAGAAAGAACCATACAGTTTACCAAATTTTAACATATTGTATTATAGTACTTAAACATAACAATAATTTACAGCAGAAATTAACTCAATTGTATAAATATTATTATAGTTTATTACCTTAATTGTACAACTTTTACTACAGTTATGGTAAAATTTCAATAGTAGAATTTCATTACCCTATGCTAGTACAAAATGATATACTTTATCATGACCTTCCTTTATTTTATAATAATAATAATAAAAATAATAATATTAATAATAATAAGAGTAATACCATAAATACTCTTGACGAGGAATAAAATAGCAAATTACAATTGAAAAACAGAATCGCCTTATACGCACAACATACAAATTTCATATTTCTTCATCTTGTGCACGGATCATTTGTAACAGGTGAATTTACTACTGCAATGAAGCTGATTGTCGGTGGCAGTCGTGGATCATCATTAAAAACGACCTGTATGGTGGTGTAGTGTATAGAATCAAGTTTTACATGCTTTATAAACATAGATTTTTAGTTATCTGATTTGAACTACAATAAAAACAATGCCGAATTTGCATTTAGAATACTATACCCAGAAAAAAAAAGTGAAAAAATAATAAATATAGAAGCTCAAAAGTATAGAGGCAATTCAATGGTTTTAAAACAATGGTGCAATAACGGTGTGCAATGTAAATGCCAAGGAAAAGTATATATTGGTCAATATGGCTGTTTTATAGGCCTACACATTCTATCACTTCTGCACATTTTAGAATGTAGTCTTCATGATCTTGAAGCTAACCTAGAATCCCAGTTATTAAGTTATTGGCACACTTAGTGGAAATATCAAAGTGGCTAAATCAAATTTTATGACATGCACTGTTAGGAATTCCTCTTCAAACTTTGTGTGATTCAATTTTCTCACAAACAATTGGTCTTATCATAGCATTGTGACTCATGATGCATCCTCTGGTTGTAATAAACTTGCCAAGGTGAGCAACAACTATGGCCTACAAAACAAGGATACATCAACCAAGGCCCTTTTCAATATCTTCCAAGTCCCTGCAAAACAATTACAGTACTTTACTAATTCACAATGGAGCTTACGTCTGCACAGACTCCCAGCTGGCCCCAAACATTGAAATTTTTCGAAAAATGCTAGGCCTAGACCCCTGCATGTCTACAGCCTGTTTAGGTATGCACACGATTTTGACACACTAGGATTTCTAGGCTAGCTTAGGTTTATGAAAGATCACATAAATTCAAAAGCATACAAAGCACATAGAATGTTAGAACAAGTAAATACACACTATTTTGAACAATCGTAGTTCCTTTCCTTGCCAGTTATTTCTCACATTAATGGGGGGGGGGGGGGGGAATTTTTGCGAAACCATAACATTATCCTTTAACACGTTATATTTTCATTGCAGATTTTTTGGGCTCAGTATGGACTCTAAACGTAAGCATTTTCTTTTAGTTTGAGGCGTATGCGGATTTTATAAGTCCGAAATGAAAATATAACGTGTTCTTTCCTATACCTTAACACTGATCGCACTGTAAATTCTCCATAGTAATACCCACTATATGTCACGTGACTGGCTGTAAACAAACCTCGCGGAATGTGTCCATAGAGACCTCCCAGGCAGCATACTGCAGTTAGAGATCTCCCAGACATCATACTGCGGTTAGAGATCTCAGATCTCCCAGACAGCATACTGTAGTTAAAGATCTCATACTGTGGTTGGAGATCTTCCAGGCAGCACAGTTAAAGATCTCCCAGACAGCATAAGGGATCTACTGACCATGGATTTCAGTCCTGGACTGCATTGCATACATCCACGTCTTTACTACATTATGATCCACTGGTGGTATTCTTGAAAAAAAACCAAAAAAAAACCAGAAAAGTAAATGAATTGTGCTCAGCACCACAAAGCACACAGTTCATGTTTATTTTGCCAGCTACAAGTGGTAATCAAGAACCTGTATTCCAAAAAGTGGTGGGAAAAATGGTCTAAGTGGGATGAGTTAGGATTATTCCCTTACCTATTGTGGGGGTAAGCTGCAGAGTTTCAGCCAATTTAAAAGTTCAATTCCCCTGCCTTGTCTCCCATCAAAAACAAATAAATAAAGTGACATCACTGGACCGAAAGAGTATGATCACACTGTTGGCTGACCTGACTTTGACCTTGTTATTAGAGCAATATCATTGTTAATGATAACAAGCAGTCCGTTCATAAAAACATTTTTAAACGCCACATTAAATTGTTATTCATCACAAATTCAGTCTGAAATGTGGACAAACAAGGGTGTCGATCCATGCTTGAAAGTGAGGCAAGGGAGAGGGAATGGAAAAAAAGAAAGCCCTGACCCTGGGAGGAACGTCATACCAATTGTCCCTCCCAGGGCCAGGCATGCAGAGGAAATCTCCCACCAATCAATGCCCCAAGTGGACAAAGGAGGTGTGGAAGTTTCGTATATTATTAAAATGTTCACATGATTTGAATATAATATATCCCAATATTTGAAGGCAAGGCACCTAAATTGACAGCTCCAATCTCCGCTGTCATTTTGGATGCCTAGAAAAACAATGCTATAGCGAAAAAGAAGGCAGAAATGATTGTTGTTATTGTGTGTTTTACTGCACAACTCCATTGTCAATGCCCACTTGCCTTTAAAAATGCACCCATTCAAGTTTCACCTTGATTGCCATTTTCACTATTGAATTCATTCAAACATTGGTGTTCTTCATTCAGGCACAACAGATTTATGGAGCCATAGCAAAGTCTAAGTGCATCCAGAAAATATTTTGATGTTGATCATAATGATATCAATATTGATATAATAATGATACTAAATGCAATTCTTACATAACAATACTAATATATATGAAGGCCCCCCTCCAATGGAAATATGTTTTTTTTTTTTATATTTAAAAAAACTTTCTTGGGTTACCACTAGGAAATAATGTCTGTTCATTTCATTTCTGTTTTCATGGATTTTGTTTTGTATACAAGAAATTGTACTGATTATTGATTTCAATTCCTGAATAAAATGAAATGAACACTGTAATAACAACAATGACAAGGACGATCGATCATGATAATAATAATACCTGTAGTAATAATAACAATACTACTACTAAAAATAATAATTAATTTAATAGTATTAATGATGAAGCTGATGATGATACTAATATATATAATATTGATATTACTTCATGCTTAATTAATTTGTCCATTATCAATGTAAAATATATAATTTACAGAAATACAATCGCTGTTTAGTTCCTGTGTTTGTATATGTGACAAATAAATTACAGGTTTCCCCCTCTAAAGACCCTTCCAATTAAAGACCATCTTTCTGCAGTCCCAAGTGAAGGCTTATCTTTAATCTTAATAATAATTTGTCCAATTAAAGTCCAAAGCTGCTGAAGACCAGGAAAGACAGGTGGGACAATTGCCCTAGGACAAAACAATAAAATAAGGTGTATTTGGGAAAAAAAAACTATGTTTTCAACGACATGTCACATTGATTATAGCTCTATTCGCCTGAATTAGGTATCTTATTACATAAAACGCCAGAGCCCAGACCCTTGTTCTTGGACACTTTCGGCAGCCCTGATTTGCTTACAGTATTCTACAATGTTTAAATGTACAGTACAGTATATATACTGAACCATACTCTACTGAATCATGATAAGGAACATATTTGCATTGAATGAAGTGTTTTAACCCGAAGACCTGGAAAAAAAAACAAAAAAAAAAACCACAAGATTAACCTCTATAGTCCTATAATGCTTGAATTTAGTTTGTTTTGGCATATTCGTTCCAACATCTGTTTTTATTACTACTGTACCATTTATAAATATAAGAATATACAACATGTCCGTATTTTACACACTTTTCAAAGATAAAAAAATAATTATTGTACAAAAGTATATTATATTATAGAGGGTGATATATAAGCAGTAGATATAATGTTGATATAAAACATTTTAAAAATAATAATACTTTACTATATGTGACTAGATTGATTTGTTGGTTTTTATAGTTACCTAAGCCTCCAAACATTTTAAAAATTTATGCCAAATGTCAATCCGCACAACGTACCATACTTGCAATAATATTTAACACCTTTTATAAACATATTTAATGCTATGTACTGCCGACAACATAACACAACAAACATACATGTTATTTGTATGTTATCGTCTAGGTGTATCTTCCCCTATTAGCCGCTAAGTCTGGGGTTCTACAATGTATAACTATAATGTAATAAATGCTGGAATGTTACCCCGGTTTTGACGAGAATAGTCGCCCCTAGCGCCCTCAGCAACGCCCTGTAGGACGAGTATACTTGTCGATGTCTGCGAACGTGTTCATAAGCCAAACTCCCTTGAACACAAAACTGGAAAAAAGTTTTTGGGTGGGGGTTTCATACCACCCCTTTTCAATCAAAAGGTAATTTTCAGCATTGCCTGCCTAATTCAAAGCCACTAATTTTTTAAAAGTTAGCTAAGCTACTCTTTCAAGTCATACCCTGGGCTTCTGCTTGAGGAAAGGCTGGTACGAAAAACTGGCCGTAAAGTAGGAGGTGGGCTTATACCCAAGAACTACGGTGTTACAATATAGTACTCTAAAAAAAACCACCCAAATATTGCCTTTGAATTACAGTGCTAAAAAAATTGCCTTTTGAATGAAAACAGGATACCCCGGATATTAAAGTCCAACTCTCCACCCCTCCCTCCCAATTTTGCGTTAAAAGAAGTATTGTAGGCTTATTCTAGTTGAACTACAGTACAATATCAGCTGTGAGTGTTTAAAATCAGCTGATTGCTTTCCCTGCGATTGGCAACCACTAGGCCAACCTGTCACCTGGGATATTCTCATACCTGGTGACAAGGCTAAACTGATTAGTGATTGTAATTTAACACTGATTATCATCGACACGACACACATGCATTATCCAATGGAATTCAACTGTAAAACCCGCAGACAATACATTATCGCATTATATAATTGACATCAGGCCTAAATGAGAATTTTAAAGTTTTTCAATATCAGCTGACTCTGGTTAAGAATCACCTCTCCCTGATTAGACATACAGTAAAACTTGTCTATGCTCACTTTGCCTAACTCAAATAATTTCTTAGTACAAGATAGAATAGCATAAATAGAGTAACAAATTGAAATCAGGGTGCAGGCTGTAAGGTAAATACACTAAACAAGAAAACCCTATCGTTAATGGTCAAAAAGATTGTATTATACGAAGTACAGAAACACATGCAAGGCCTACATACCAATGTCCATTCCAGATATTGAGAGTAAAAATTCTGGTTTGATGATTAAGTTTATGGCTAAAAAAGGTGTCAAAATATAAATTTGAAAGAATTTTTACAATACTGTAGTTTTTTTGATACAATAAAAAAAAGTCCCCTAATAGAGGTTGCAATGTACTGATTTGACAACTTGGCACATTCAGAAAGTGTCCCCATCCCCTTAATAAGGGGTTGGCTGTAGTGTAAAAAGATATACAGTATTTCACCCCCCATCCCCCACATTTCACAGAAAAGTTCCCCCTTAATAGGGGTGTCCCAAATGAGGGGTTCTACTGTATGATAATTTATATAGCGCTTTTTAACACAAAAAGTTGCTATACGGATATGAATCCTGTCTGCCCCTGCGATGAACTCAAAATTATGAGTATTTGACTAGCATTTACATGTGTAATGAGATACCTTATTGCAAATTCATACTGCAATCACAAACATTTATAATATTATTTTATCTTTATCTAAATATTGTCAGTATAACAATTAACTTTTGCTGTTAAGTTACACATATTCACTAAAGAGTCACGATCAGCATATTCCCAAATAATTAAAATTTCAGATTCTATAAATTATAAACATGTTCATTAAAAATAGTGTTGCCAAACACTGATGATAATGATGATGATGATGACGACGAGGAGGAAAATGATGATGGTGATGAGAATGAGATGAAGATGATTGGTGATGGTGACGGTAATGATGATCTTAATGATGACGAGGAAAATGATGATGATGTTGTTGATGATGATGAGGAAAATGATGATGATGATGATGATGATGAAGATGAATGATAAAGAGATGAAGATTACTGGTGATGATGAGGTAATTATAATAATATGATTGGTATTGACTATGTTGATGAAGATAGGTGATGAAGACAATGCTGATGAGAGGCGGTGGGGATTTTGATGGGTGACAACGCTGATAATGGATACTTATTTCCAAATGAAGTATGACGATGATTGTGTTAGGTAAATGATGAAGATGGCAGATGATGACTGATCTTAATCTAAAAAAAAATAATAACAATAAAAAAATAAAAAATAAAAATAGCGTTCATCTACAAAATATGCTTTATAAATAGTCTTAATAATGAGGCTTAAAGAATATTTAACCTAGGACCCGACCCTGGAATTAGAAGGCAAGCATCTTAACCATATGGAAAACGTTGTCACATCTGGGTTGCCATGCCCCCACACACGCCGTTAAGCACAGCAACAGAGCCTAGAACAGCTCACACGGTGGGCTAATTCGGGTGCTGTTGTCTAATACAGTAACTTTTCTTACTTGGAATATGCACTTTTGAACTGAAAAAATACGTTCTGTTCCTTGTTGAATAGGAAATGGGCATGATTTGTGTCGATTTAGAAGAGGTCACCTCACTAAATCAAGCCTCAGACATAAACCAGATGAGATGTCAACAGGGTTCGCCCGGAATAATATAATATATTAAATACCCTTTCTTGTAATATAAAACTCAACGTGATTGGTGTAGGTCCTAATTACGCACATTTGCTTCTAAAAATAAGTGTTTTTTCACA